CATTTTTATCCATTACTTCTAATATTTAACTAAATAATATGCCTTGATTTTTTTTTTTTTTCATTTTAGACAACCATTGGCTGTCTGGTATGAAATATCTCACATTTTTATCCATTACTTCTAATATTTAACTAAATAATATGCCTTGATTTTTTTTTTTTTTTTTTTCATTTTAGACAACCATTGGCTGTCTGGTATGAAATATCTCTTATACCAGATCCCCTTTAACACAGAGAAACAAATATATTGTTCTCCTGTGTATGTGGTTATATTATAGTTTGTGATTAAACATTCATAAGTTTGTCTCCAACCTACCTTGCACCCTGTAAGTGTGCCTTCAAGTTTTTGTTTCTCTTTAAGAAGGCACAGGGGGAGCTTTTATTTTTTGTGGGAATCATCTTTTTGCTTCTTCCACAATAACTACAGTGATGGAGCAGAATAGGATGATGACAGCAAATACTGAAATATGGAAGTTTGTCAATCTTCATTGCACTGCTTCCACTGGAAAAATGTGTGTGGGCTGGCTTAGCTGATCCTATGAGGTTTTAATACCATCCTTTCTTATTCTAAACTCTAACTGTACTTAATTTATAGAAGGAAGATTTTCCCTAGGGTTCACCTAGGCTTCCGTGTTTGTGATATCCCTGCCTTGAGGATCTATTATTTTCTTCTGACCATAACTATTAGATTTATTTGTTTTTCAGAGAATTGGTACAACTTGATATTACTCTTATAGCCACATCATCACTTTACTGAGTTATATTTTTGTTTTATTATGTTTCTCTTTATATATTAACCAAACTTCTCAGTTTGGGAAAATTATGCAATTACTGTGTAAAAATTAAAAGTATTTGGAAATTACTATTTAGTCTGATGATTACAATTTACTCTTTTCCAGATATATTTTTGCCATCATGGATCGGTTTGGAGATATATCAGAAGGTGAAGTGGACCATTCTTTCTTTGACAGTGACTTTGAAGAAGCAAAGAAATGTGAAAGTAACTCAGTTTTTGACAAGCAAAATGACGACCCTAAAGAGAAAATAGATAAAAGTACAGAAAATGTAAACTTGAAAATTGGAATATTATCTTACAAAGCAAAGGAAAATTATCTTACTGAGAAGGGAAATGAAAGAAAAATGAAAATTCCTCCAGAAGAACATCCTGTAGAAAAGGATATTGTACAAACCAGAAGTTCTTTATCGTTGACCATGTCTTCAAGATCAAAAAAATTGTGTGATGCTACAGTAGGACATAAAATACACTTGCCCATTCCAAATAGAATTCCCAAAATTGTGAAAGAAGGTGAGGATGATTACTCTACAGATGGAGAGGAAAGCAGTGATGATGGGAAAAGACGTCATATGAGGTCCAAGTTAGCTAAACCTCCTAATAACTTTAAAAAAAGCATAAGTAAGAAGTATTCCAAAGTTAGTTCCTCCTCCTCCTCTTCTCTGTCTTCCTCCTCTTCAAGTTCAGTTACAGATTGTTCAGATGCAGGGTCTGATAACTGTGTATCTGATTCATCTCCATCAAAGAAACATGTATCTGGTGTAACCCTCTTATTACCAAAACAGAAATACAAATCAGGAATAAAATCGATGGGAATACAACCTTCAAGTACTAAACCAAAAACTGGTGACTATACTGAGGAATCTGAAGATACTGTGACAGATGTAACTCCTTTATCAACTCCAGACATCAGTCCTGTTCAGTCTTTTGAACTGGGTGCATCAAATGATCAAAAAGTGAAAGTTAAAAAGCAAGAAAATGTGAGTCAAGAAATATATGAAGATGTTGAGGATTTAAAAAGTAATTCAAAATATTTGAAAACAGCCAAAAAGGGGAAAGAAAAACATGGGCCCAATCTCACCTCACAGTCTTCAGTGTTAGATTCCAATTTAGACCACAGATACAAACAAAAAGTCTTACATGACACAATGGACCTGAACCATCTTTTGAAAGGTAATTGTCTTTTCTTTTTAAAATTTGTATATTAAACTTTATATATTGAGCTTAAATATTAAATACTATGAATTTGCATTGATTTTTCTAGTAGATACCTTTTATTGTTGGGATAATTGATATTACAGTAACTTTACCAAATATTTCATTTTATCATTAAAATATTTAGAATGTCATTTGTATCATCAGGTAGGATATACTGCAAAGCTAATCAGTTTAGGACTAGAAACCACATTAATTGTATTTTAGTAACTCACAAACTCAAAATGCCTAGAGGGAAGAGATGAATAAGATAAATGAGAAAAGTAGAGCCAGATGTTTTCCCACTTTTGATAGAGATCTTGCATATTTCATTTTCTGCTTTTTTTTTTTTTTTGTCTTTTTCCATGTCCGGCAACGGATCGCAACCCTCAGTGTCGCCCCCGCACCGGACCGGGGACCGGCAACGGGACCACAACCCTCGGTGTTGCTCCCGCGCCTTGCTCCGCCAGTGAGCGGGAACCGGTCTGTACGTGGGATCCGAACCCTCGGACAGGAGCGCCGCCGC